TGCTCCAATCAACAAATGTTACCTATGAAGTGAGGTCGGGTCTTTCTCCTCCATTGTACCTCCGGTGTGAGAATCAGTAGGTGCTCAGGAAAAGTAAGAAGAAAGTATTTGAGAGTTCAAACAGTTCAAGTTCCAAGAAGCAGCTACCTTTCTCACTTTGGAGGTATTTATTGGCACATGTTGTTGTGCGTGCGTTCGACGGTTGCTGGTGCCACGTGCCCCACGTAAACTTACCCACTTCCTCCACGTTCTTGAGTTGTGACCCCCACTCGTCAAGCGGTTGATTATGCACATGTTCGCTGTTAGTCGGTTTTTGTCCAATTCATTGCCATTTATTTGGCTAAGTATGATTTTGGTCGCATGGTGGCAGACGGCCTTGTGGAACGTAGAGGGCCTCAGGGGGGTCGACGGCCTCATAGCGGTAGAGGGTCTATGTGAACGTAGATACACAAGGTGAGGAGGTGGAAGAAAATCAAAGGAAGAAGAAAGGACTCAACAGAAAAGGAAAAGAAAAAAAAGAAGAAAGGACAGGAAGGAAGAAATAACGGCAGAGAAAGAAAGGAAAGAGAAAAAGGAGCAAAGAAAAGGAACTGTAGATACCAGAAATTTTCACGTTTCGTAAATTTTTGGTAATATCTTTCCACTTTTGCGTATTTTGATTTTTACAATATGGATAACTAATTTTTATATTAGGAAAAATAATTTAGTCAACTTGTGATCCTTTATTTTTTTATTCAAGATTTGTGTAATTTATTTATTTATGTGATTTATGAGAGACTTCATGTACTGGGAACGATTTCAACAATTAGGGTACAATCCATTCGAAGGAGTCCACGGGAACGACTTCTTATTGTCTGTGAATCTAGATTGTCGACCTACCATTCAACCCGAAAATATATCAACTAGGGAAGAAAAGATTAAAGAGAATGACGTGTTGATCACAATGGAATAAAATGAGGATGTGACAATCAATGAGAATGAAATCAACTCACATTTTTTCGACTTTATTGATTGTCTAAAAATTGATTTTGTGATTAAGCTCGATGTAGGAGTGGAAGTCTACATAGTTGAAATTCAATCGGATGAAATAGAGAAGTCATATTACATTGAAATGGGCAAGGTAAAAGTTTGGAGACTAAATGAAAATGGATCAAATCCAAACGAAGGAAAATGGGCAAGGCATCCAAAGCCTTCTTTAGGTTCCCGTGATTCAATTGTCAAAGTCGAGCTAAAAAATATAAAAAAAAACGTTTCTTGGGAGGCAGCCCAAATTTTTTTTTTTTTTTTCATTTATATTTATTCTGTTTTTGAGTTTTAAGATAGTTAAATTTATTTGTGACTTATCATCCAT